TTCCCATTCTCTGTCTCAACGCCGCTGATGATCCTTTTGTGCCCTTCAGCAGTGAGTTTTTTTGCTTCTCCTCTAAAAGGTGGTTGAAGTGCCTTCAAATGCAACACTTTGCAATGTTTGTGTCATTTGAGATAGACGGTACACCTAAAGTAAGTGGCTTTAACTCACAATCATCAGCAAAGACTTTTCTAGCGTGGTCCCCTACGAGGAAAAAAATACTTTCCACGATCACTAGATCTGGGAGTGCCGAGCCCAAGCATTGATCTGCTGTGGATTGTACGTGAATTGCAATTTTGGTTGCTGTGTTCAGATCGGTAGACCGCACTCCTTCGTCGCAGCACTGGTGGACCATTCGGCTTTGGGCAAAGCTAAATGGCGATGTAATTACGACTTATTCCTGAAATGGACGATAGGCATCGATGTCAGTGAATGCATTTGCTATACTACAACCACAAGTGCGTTAACTTCGTTTAACGCGAATTTTTGTTCGCACGCAGGACCAGCGTGACGCTACTTGACTGGATGTTGGCGACACACATCATCAGCCTGTCTCATTGCTGGCTGTGATGTTTGGGTTATTTTTTTTTTTTTTTTGCTGGAACTACGATTTATTTTTTGGAAATCAGGCCGACTACCTCTTATCCGAGAAAAGGTCATTGTTTTACAGGCGGTGTAAATATTCGTCTGAGTTGTGAGTTCTTCCGACTACTCTGGCCACAAGGCCAAATAATTCGGCAAACAAAGAAGTCGCTACACTTTTTTTTTACCTTGTCGTATGGGGATAAGCCTACGGGGCACGCGGTGTGGACGGCCGATCGAAAAGAGCGGCGAAACCAGATTCTTCTCCCTGCTTTACAGTGCTTAATACCCATGTGGATATTTCGCTTAAGACTAATTTAAAAGAGCCAACTTTTTAAAGCTTGCTTAGCTTATTTGTCACAACGTTATTTCGTTTGACTTCCCCAGTTAATAATTGCTTGCCACCTCCAAGCCCGTCATTAATCACTGATAGTCTACTAAACTTAGCAATCAGCCAAATTGCTGGGCTGTGGCCACAGAAGTGCGTGATTGTTCCTACTGACCGAACCGAGTTGCTTTTGATGGTTCAGGTAAGTAAACCACCTTGTAATTACACACAGCGCGCGTAGGCTATGCTCCCGCGAGAGGGAGCAGAGGTGATAGAATTAGGCTGGAGAGGTGAATGATTGAACGGTGACGGCATCGACACGAGGGTGGATGATCGCTTGACAATGAATTTGAGTGAGTTGTGTGCTTCGACCGTGGCGAAATGAGAGGTGGCGTTAATCTGTGTGTGTGTGGGGTGATTGAGAGAGGAGGTAAAAGGGTGTTTTGTTGACTGTTTCCTAGCTTTGCCCCTGGAGGCGGTGAGCGAGGCGGGGAGTCGCGTTGTGCTTGCGCTGACACGTCACGGTGGGCACATAGGGTTCTTGGCGGGACTGCTGCCAACGGGTCGGAGTTTGTTGGATCGTGCGGTGCCAGAGTTTGTGTCGGCTGTATTTCAGCATGCGGAGGAGTTTGCAGTCGCCGCAGTCGCCGGTGATGGGAAGGAGGAGATGAAGAATGGAAGCGAGGAGGGGAATGGCGCGGATTTGGTGGATGAAGCTACGGCCACGTTTTACTGACGTCGGCAGTTGGGCGAAACACAATAGATTCTGTCTGCTACTCTCGTTTCGCGTGTTTTTGGTGGAGAAGTATCAAATTGGGTGTGTGTGGACGTTGGATGGAGATTGGGAGAAAGCAATTGAGGGTGAGGTGGAGTGCTGCACCAGAGTTGGGTGGGAATGAGTTAGTTTGGTTTGCATAGCGTATCGTTGGTGTGTTGGTTTCGGTTGATAATGTTGGAATGAGGTCGCTGAAGTAGTGTTAGTAGTACGGTGGATGGTAGTGTTGCGGTAGGTGCAATAAAGCGGTAAATGCGGTAAATGTGTTTGGGTTGTGGTGCGATTTTGTTGGTCTTGTGCAGCTGCCTGAAATGTAGTGTAGAGTTTGGGGTAGTGAAATTATCTTCAATTTATTAAACTTATGATAGGGAATGCATATCACTTACTTGGCAGGTTTTGTTCCGATTCCTGAATGCATATAAGCGACGTAGGTCGGGCATCACCATTATTACTCGCTTAGTTGTAATTATTGAGGTGTCGAATAGTCATGTTGCCAACGCAGTGTACTCCAACGTACGCATTTTGCCCTGTTTCCATTTTGAAGGAAGGTGTTGTGGGTCCTTGATGCGTTAGGATCTTTGTTTCAACCACCACTAGTCAACTTACTACCTCTGCCAACGTCAGAAAGACTTAGTCCCTCAAAAACTACCAATGAAATGTATGTTCAACTTTGACCTTACCCATCTCTTCATCTCATCATGTTCATGTTAGAATAAGTAATCTGCGCTGATCCATTTCACCTTTTCCAACCGTTCTGTGCTAATTTAGGTAACAGGAGGTAGACAGAAAGCAAATTTTGTCCAAGGGAGGAGCTCACTGATCCCTACTCCATGGCATGCATTGAGATGCGAGCCACAGAAGGATGTCGAGAGGAAGGCATTGATGGGAAAAGAAGACTAAGTTAAGATTTGCTGCTTTGTTTCGGGCGTAGTTGCACTACAATAAATGTTTGCTTTGCATTGTGCTTTCCCTCAATGGTACGGTCTCCTGTCTGAGCTAGCTCTTCGTCAGCTCATCTGTATGCTTTGATTTCTGAGTGCTCGAAGTAGGAGAAATAGTAAACTATCATCGCTATGAACAGCCATTTCGTTATACTGCTCAATTCAGC